GGTATGAATAGCAGTATTGGATTCCATGGTAATCTTTCAGTCATATTATTGCAAACTGCTGTCCTGCTCACATTAATGAATTATATTCCAGTTAAAATCATTCACTAGCTATATCTGTCTTGGGAGACATTTACCTCACTGCTCAGACATTACCACAATTTATTATATAGTATACATACCTGCTTTTACCTCATTCATTTAACAAAGCAGACTTTAAACAGGTTTTCAACCTGATAAAACCATCCATTCTAACACTCTACACTCTAATATTCAGGACTAGATGTGTACTGAGCTACTATTTTAAAGGCTGTGATGAGAGAGTAATAAGGTATCACCTCACAAAGTCCTCCATGGAATACGTATTTGAAGAAGTATTGCACAAATTTAAAGTAAATTGATCTTGAGCTAAGGGCCAAGCAGCAGGAATTCAATCCATCTGTAGGTGAAAGCAAGCATTAAATTTCCGTTTGATTCTGTAATTACACGGGGATCTTACATATACGTTAGACATTCAGAAAATCTGCACTCTTCGGAGAGACAAACACATCCATACACAGGCCCCTGTTTTCAAAAGAAAGACAACTTGGCCAAGTTTGTGATGATAGCACTACTTTATACCCAACCTTCACACAGGTTGTTTCGTGGATCACATTCCTTCTGCAGAAGAAAGTATTTAAGGGAGTTAGCACAGATCCTATCATCTCTTTTATGGTATCTGAGCAAAACTGATCTTCTGCTCCTGTATTTTCTGTTTACATATCATTTTTCCACTAACTTAATCGCTGCTTAAGGGAGTTATATGTAGGGAGTCTCACAGAGCACCAACCACTTGACAAGATCCACTGACGTGCCTCAGGCATGCAAGTATTTAACTAAAATAGTATAATAAACATTAGCTTTGCAGACCAAAAAGAAAGGGAGGCCATCCTTTTGAAAGCCTCTATACACTTACGTTTTTAGTATTTTTGCTTCCAAAACACTATGTTAAGAATAGATTTACCAGGGGGTGCATAAAGGAGCTACAGATCCTGCTTGAGCCCATTTGCTCTGTACAGATTGATGCACTCTCCATGTCGTACGACAGAGGATACTTTGTGCTGTTCAATGACACCCTTATTCACATCCTGCCAGCATCCAGCCCTGACGTATAGCGGTACTGTGTGAACAGATGGCTTTCATGATAGTTTTGAAACTAAGAAGGCACCAGTATGAATTGCAATTTTATTTTTAACCATTCTACAAGTGATGCCTACAATCTAAGACACAACTGTATCTAATGTGGTGCTAATCACAGGTGTGCAAAAGCGCCAATAGGAATAGGTGGACAGTTCTGAATGGTTACCTTAGACAGATCACATGCCTCTAAAGAGCAATCCATACCATAGAGAGGTTTAAAGTCCTACCATCAAGTTAGCAAACGATCTCGCCGTTGATTTTCAGTCCTCATCTTTTTCTTGTGGTAAATACATTAAAATGTGATGAATTTAACAAACTGCTCCAAAAACTACATCAAGGACACTTGTGCAGCCTGAATTCTGGATTCCTGGGTAACCAGAATACTATGACTCAGAGGACCCTATCAGCTTTCCAGTCATCTATTTTACAAAAATACTTGAAGTACTTCTTAAACATTTCCAACTATAATTGCGTGGTTATTTTAGCCCTTTGCACTTACACTGTGAAATACTCAAATTAAACAAGACTAATTGCACATTCTTTTTGTACAGGATGATATTTATCCCGAGTGGTGTAACTGTCACTTTGCTTATGTTACACTGTGTAACGCAGGGTAATACAGAGATACCCAAGTTAACTGGAAAGAACAAGGTCGTGACAATTACAGCAAAAGCATGGACAACATGGAAGGGAGGAGCAGATGAAGGAAAACTACATCCAGAACATAACATTCTTGAGCTTCCACAATTGGGCAAATCTAAGTAGCTTTACAATATTTTTACCAGTGAATAAATCTCTCTTCTCTGGAAATTTGCACTAGGAACCCTTGTTAGAATCAGAATCCTGTTCTAAGAGCATGATGAAAAATGTTGCACTCCAAGTTGGAAATTGGAGAGGAAAACGATCCTGTATGCGTAAGAATTGTACTCAAACCGCTGATTACACTTTTTCTTCCCCCTTAACAGATGCTTACACCTTTTACTTTTAACCTGAGAAGCAACGGGTAGTTTCCACGTTTCCCTTGGGGATAGTGTACTCTTCTGTCGTTTGCTTCTGTACAAACAGTTCAAAATTTTAAAGTCATGTTGTCAGACATACACCCAAACAACCTTGCACGGCATTACATGTTCCGCCCCCCCCCCCCCGTCCCTCCCCCCAAGACAGGTCAAGCCCTGAAGGCAAGACCAGACAAGTAAATAATGTGAACATAGAAAAGTAACTTGTAAATACATTACGTTTTGGCAGTTTTTTGGCACTTTGTGGGGCTTAACTGCGCTTCAGTGAGAAGAACATCTACTGGTGTGAACTGAAATTATGCCTCTGTGCCACAATGTATTTTTTTGTTTGTTTGTTTTCTGGGGGGAGGGGGTGGGGCAAAATTTCTTGTGGACACCTGCAGGAGTTGCAAGATAATAATAAAGTGTAGGTGAAGGAAAAGTTCCTTCTGTGTTGTTGTTGGTTTTGTTTTCTTTTCCATGCAGTCTTAAAATGAAGGTCCCATTTTCGAGCCCTTGGCAGAGTGTAAGCATGCCGGAACACTTCACGCTACGTAGATCATATTTGTCTGAAATGATAATATCATCCTGTGAAATATGTTCATCTGATTCGTGTCAATACGGAACAATGCTAGGGCCTCATCATGAAATGTGACCTTCTGTCTTACATCCTCTTGTATAAATAACCACAAGTCCGAGAGAAACAGAGTGGTTAGTGTATCTAGTTCTTGTATCTTGCAAAAGAATGGTCTGGCAGTTCATGTCGATAGAGGGTTTGAAGGGTAAACCTTGAGACTCGGGTCTGGGAGATAAGAGCATAAGGGGGAGTTTTTTGAGCTAGCTGCTGACTATTGCATGAGACACAACTTTCTGACATGTGGCACAGAGACCACTAAATAAGGAGGGGGGTGGTGGTGTGGGGAAGCTGAGGAACAAAGGACGAAGGATGAAGCCTGGGAGGAAGACTATGAGCCTTCAGTACGAGCGACCCCCAGAGGGACTGCCAGAGACTGATACGTATGCACCCGTGGGATGGTTCGGGTGCCGGGAAACTAATTATAAGAACCCTGCCTTTTCCAAAAGTGGTGATGAATATGTATTAGCCTAGGAGCATAAAAACCAGCCGCCTGATGTAACTGGTGTGCGTCTTGGTGGAGCAGAGACTCCCGGCGCACCCAGCGCTGTTTGCTTACCTTTATTCCTTTAATAAATTGTAAACTTTGATTGTAACCCTATTTGGGACTCAGTCATTTATAACAATACCTATAGTCTGCTGCAGCCTGAAAAGTAGCCTGTGCCTCAGGTGCTGTTTTCTGCCTCTGCTTTTGTTACTACATCCTTGTAAGTCTTCAAAAGGGAAATGAAGTTATCCTATTCAGAAAAAACACCATCCAGAAGAAACTTTGGTTGATTTCAGGGCCTGAATTCTCACTGAAACCAAAGGTGGGTATAGAATCATAGATTATCCCGAGTTGGAATGGTCCCATAAGGATCATTGAGGCCAACTCCTGGCACCACACAGGTCTACCCAAAAATTCAGACCACGTGACTAAGTGCACAAGTCCAAATGCTTCTTAAACGCCGACAGGCTTGGTGCAGTGACTACTTGCCTGGGGAGGCTGTTCCAGTGTGCAACAACCCTATCAGTGAAGAACCTCTTCCTGATGTGTAGCCTAAGCCTCCCCTGCCTCAGGTTGACGCCATTCCCTTGGGTCCTATCACTGGGGACTGAAGAGAATAGATCGGTACCTGCCCGTCCACTCCCCCTCGCGAGGAAGCTGTAGACTGCGACGAGGTCTCCCCTCAGCCACCTCGTTTCCAGGCTGAACAGGCCCAGTGACCTCAGCCGCCCCTCATACGTCTTCCCCTCTAGGCCCTTCGCCATCTTTGTAGCCCAGTATCTTACTGACTTGAAGAAAGAGGCTTTAATCTGTCCTGGTTTGTTTACTAACAAAGGAGCACAAAAGAGACGCCTGTCCTTGCCTCTGAAGAGGAGGTGAAGGAAGAGCCAGTGCAAGGAACACAAAAATCAGTTGCGCCAGACTAACACGTGGTTGTATCTGAGCTTGGAGACCGCAACCCTCTTCAGACTTCCAGATCTAGAGGAACACTTTGGCTGCAGCCTAAAAGCCACGTGTACATAAGCTCCCTCAAGCCAGCCAATCTTCTTTCCATGACCTGCCAGGAAACAGCAATGTGGGCATGTAACCAAATCAAAGCCCAGACCTTCAGCCCAGTCCTTGACCTGAATAGTGAGTGAGGATCCGGATCCTGGCATTTATACGTGATAGCTTATAGGCAGCGGAAGTAAATAGTGTAGTCAGAGGTCACGGGGCTAGATTTTGAAAAGTTTTCCTGCATAAGGAAGACATCTCAGAAAAACAGATTTAAATAACATTAATGCCAAGAAAAGTCATTCTGATTGCTATTTTCTTTATCTGTCGTGACTAGACAGATGAAAATCTATGATAGCAATTTTGCCTTTAAGGTCATTTTCTTTGATTTCTTTGATTTCTTTATCTGTCCATCTATTTATTTATTTATTTATTTTAGCAGGCTCTGTACTAATTTTCCTGACAGAATGACCGACAGAAATACGACCCTTGTGCACCTTTCCTAGTTAATTCATTAGGTCAACTCTAACCACTAAGCCCCTTGTCAGGTTATTTCTATTAGTGATAAGGAGCAATTGATCTTCAAAGACTGAAGCCAGGTAGAGGAGCCTATTCCACAAGGTCTCTTGGCTCCACCCTTGTTAAGTGAAATCTGCCAGGTGTGGGTCATTTGACCTTTGCTATATAGGAAGCTTGAGGAGCTGTGGGGAATTGCCTTCCTGGGGGAGTCTGAGGCTCAGGTTGTCTAGGGTGCTTTTCTGCTGTTGTGGTGAAGTGGGCTCAGTGTTCCCCCGTGGGCTGTTTTTTCTTCGTGTTTTCTGCCATCTATGTGAAATAGTTTTAGTGACTCTATGAGCTAGCTATGTTGGCGGTGCCTTCTCAGTACAGCAGAACCCTGGTGGTGTGACTTCCCTGTGAAGCAGTGTGTGGAAGTGACTCAGGTTCAGAAGCTGGCAGGTAAGTGTTCCTAGGTTCTACAGTTCTTTAATGCTGAGGAGTTGGAGTACTTCCTTCACCTTGTCTGTTTTCAGTGAAAGTACTCACGTGGATTCTAAGCTCCCTTTCCAGCCCTTAAAAACACAATAATGATAATAATAATAGTAAATAAACATAAAACCCAACTAACTCAGAAGCTCCAGTGCTTACAGGTAAGCCTGCCTTCCAAGAATGTTCTTAACTATTAGTTAAGGTTGAACATCAGGCAGTGTGAAAAAGGTGCCTTAACGTGAACTCAAATTATGCCCTGTGGTAAGTAGACACAGTCTGGGAGAGATACTGGTGGCATTATGGTAACTTTCACTAAGTGGAAGTTGCGAGACTGGGCTGTTCATAAAAGAAATGGCGCTTTGACAGCATGTGAGTCAAAAGCAGTACGAAGAAACCCTCTCCCCTTCCCTTCTTCCCTACAGGCCTGCGTGTCTCTGCTGCGGAGAAAGTTCTGGAAGAGGTCCACCAACAGAGAGAATCGATTTTCCTCCCCACCTGTAGAAACCACTGTCTGAGCTATCGAGGAAAGCATCCTCCTGAGAAAGGAAGATGCCAGAGAGGGAGCACAGCCCGTGCCACCCTGTAATTTTGCCACCGTGATGGAGGTCTGGTCCCCAGGTTCATCTTTCTGAAGCAACGCGTCTTATGGGGACCAAGTTCTGTGGTGCGCTGCCAATCCTAAGCTGCAGTTGGAATCTCAAACTGTCATCTCAGCTTGACTGGCACCTGAAGTTGGAAGGATGCAGGAAAAATTCAACAATGTGCTCCACCGTTCTTACAGCCTTCAAGCTTGAGACTAACAGGTGACAGAGACTGTCTTGGGCAACATGGTCAGAAAATGGTGAGTATGTTTCCTTATGTGTTTTCCTATGGGTCACAGACAGGGATTTAAGCGTGTGATGTGGCTTGTCTGAGTCTGGTTTAGTGAGGCATGATTGTCTTATGCAAGCGGAGTACTGTAATCAAGGGGAACTTCTTCTAACATAAAAACATCTGAAATTTGACAGATCCAAAGACGGCCCTTTGAGCTGCCGACAGTATTAATACTAGGATAATTACATGTGTGCTGTACTAAGACTATCTAGATAATGAAAAACTATCTAGATGCTGAGTTGTTTCTGCAATCCCAGGTCCTTCTTGCCCAGATCCTCCTCCTGCTCAGCGTAGCGGGCTGTGTTCTCTTTAGCGCTGGGCAAGCTTGTGGATCTTGGTAGCTCCTCACTGCGTGGGGACTGCTGGTGCTTTCTCCTGTTCTTCCACTTGCTCTGCGCATTTGTTAGGCATGACCCTTTTTGGGCAGAGGGGCTTGTTCAGATCACGTGGGGCAGGTTTCTCTCCTGCCTTAACTGCAGCAATCCTTCCAATTTGCTGTTGGCCAGCAGTCCTGCTCCCACCAGCTCAGTATGGAGGGAAAGATCCATTTGCATATTGCTGCCTCAGGCATGACTGGGATATGCTGGGTGTTCCCTATCTGTTATCGCTGGGTGTAAGAAAGTCCAGAGCTGGGGCTCTGACTACATGCACTGACTCTAAAATGTCCCAGATATTATGTCATTTACCTGTTTTGTCCAAAAAGCGAGTGGATCATTCAACAGCTGTGCTGCATCCCATGAGAGGCAGTCATACAGGCAGAAAGGATTTCTGGGAAACACAAGGAGTTTCCAATTAGGTTCAAATTGCTTATTTAATGAATGAAGAATAAAATGATTACACTAATTAATATGATAAAAGACTGACTTAAGAATCACTGATAAGTACTTAACTATTATTAGTCAGAAATGCTGCCAGATCATACATTATTTCATTCACTTCAGAAAAGATGAAGCTTTAATGGTTAATGTGGTTTAAGGTTTATGTCTGTTCTGGTTCACAGAAATTTAACTGTTTGCTTCCTATTTCCACTAGCAGCCATGTGATTAAATCACCATGATTGCTTTTAAAGAAAACAAAATATTAGTAATTTCTATGATGTTTACAACTCCTAATTTCTCTCCAGACCAATCTCTCTGCTTTGTGGACATTTTCAGTTCTTGTCTCATACTACAAAATTCACTTGAGTATCACGATCATACTATATTTATAGTTGCTAATATGATGAGTGTGTAGTCAACTGCAGGCTAAAGACATCAACTATTTGTTGTTGTCCTTTATAATGATTTTCAAGTATGTACACACACCTTAGCAACAAGGCTCCTTCCTACTCCAAATCATGTTTTGGCTGGCTCAGTATACTCATTCTTAATTTTTTTTCCAAAAATTGCACCAATTCAAAAACTATTCTACATAGATTGATGACTGAAATGTTGTGAAGGCGTACATTTGGGGTCAGGTGGAGAGGAAGAGAAAGGTTTTAGTTACATCAGAAAGCAAAGCTAATGTATTAAAGGTGAATATGAAACAAGACTACTGAGAAGTTAAACAATGGCTTGTAACAACCTATAGATCAAATCTGATCAATTTTCTTATTCCTCCAGTGGATGCTCAGCTATCACCTAACTAATCGTGGAGCCTACTGATGACTCTAGGTGACTCTATTCTGAGACATACCAAGAAGAAATGTAATGTAAATGGCAAGATTTTTGATGAAGGAAAGCAAACACAAGAAATGTGAGATTGGTAAGAAACAGGCTAAATGGAGTGCAGTGATTTGCACTGACAGGGGAACTGCTCAGACAAAGGACAAGTCTTAAAGGAGTTCTTCAACGATGCATTTTAGAATGCATCCTGCCATAATATTTTCATTGACATGGACACAAAAAACACATTTACTAATGTTTGCTGACGTTAAAGCAGCACCAGTCTGTATGATGATTGGAATAGCATACACAAAGTTCTGTATGACCCTGAAGACTGAAGTAATAGAAATGGAATTAAATTTTAATATTACAAACTTTGTTTATGTACCATGGAAGTAAATCCCAAGCATTTTCTCATAACTGTTTTCTCATAACTGTCTTGGTATTACAATATAAAAGGAATGTCAACATTTTTTGTCAGAGTAAAAAGATGAAAAACGCAAAATACCAAAAAGTATCACTTCCCAAAGTGTACCAAGTATCTAGCTAGAACAGGTGGTTGTGTTGCAGATACTAATATTGTGAGAATCTAAGAAGAGCAACTGATCAGTAGAGACAACTACGCTGAAACCTGAGGCTCTGGTTAAGACTCCCAAGGATCTGTGTTATGCTGTTATCCAGTGTATCAAAGAGGAATGGTGATATGTTACCAACAGATCCAAAAAGACACAATTTCATAGGCTGCTTTCAGGTGAAAGGGAGTCAAAGGCACTCTAAGTAAGTAATTTATTTCATATGCTGATTGCCACAGAATCTGGTTTTCAGATGGAAGGGGACATAGACTATCACATAGAACTTGGCACTGTAAAGGTGATCACGTACAAAAGGGCCTGAAAGGAGAAGAGGAAGGTGAGAAGCTCTAGATCATACGAAGTTAATCAAAAAAGTGCAATTTTACCCATTATTATTGTAATAGGACATATTCTCATCACACTTTCAACCTTGCATGACATTCATTTCTCAGCTGGCGTGCATAAGGTGTGTTGCAACTGTCCATCAACTGCAAATGAGCTCTTCATCAAAAGAAGATTTGATGTAGGTAAAGTGTAAAAGATAAGCAAGATGATTTTCCTTGGGACAGGAGGCAACATTTATTTCTACAATTTGGAAGAGGTAAGAACTAGCACAGAATAGCACGGGCTGCAATAAAGTATCTATTTCCTTCCATTATTCTACCTTTGAGGAAGTATTTAGGTCAGTAATTCCTGAATATTCATCAATGACCTAGACTGTGACTGTATCTCAGCACATCTGTGCTTGATACCAAAATTTCAAAGTCTATAGGTACACAGTTAACAAATCCCAGTGACAACATCTAATTCAGGGGGCCATCCTTAAGAAAGAAATAAAACTAGTATTTTTTTTATGCATAGTGATATGGTTATTGATATGGATATATTCTGGAAATTGATAACGGCATAATCTTTCATCTGTTTGTTATAATTCACAGATGATCTAGTAGTATGAATGTTATTTAGTAAGAGCAAGTCCATATGAGACTATCTTTAAAATATGATAGAATTTCATATTTCAAAACTGAACAAGGTCGCAGCTTTCCCTAGTTATTTTCTCTATTGATAGGGAGTTTAACAAACATGAGGCAAACTGTTTTACTCCCTGAGATATGTTCCTCCCGCAGCAACAGGGGTTATCTGAGGCCTTTTGTTGTTGGCAGTAATACATTAACAGCCTTTTCTCTCACTAAACCAGTGGGGAGCACAAGCCTTGGCACTTTTCTTAGAGTATTACAGTCAGCTGTAGGTGACAGACTTCAGGATTGGGGATCTCATGGATGTATTCATCTTGTTTCTCATTTTGCCTTGCAGGGGATATTTTCTCTCCAGGAGAGGATGGACCATGAAAGGGCTTTGTTTGACCAACACTAATCTCTACTGCATCAGCTTCAATACTTGAAAAATATGTTCATCTAGACAGTTAGAGCTGCTGCTTTCTTGTTTTAGTGTCTTGGATTAAGACTTGTGTGGTCTTAGAATCAGAGCCATGATTAATGCTGAGAAGAAATATTAGGGTAAGCTTCATGCATTGTAGGCAAGCAGCTAAGAGTGTTACTGTCCAGGAGCACCCCCAGAGAAACCATTTCTTCACTACAGCAGAGGTCAAGTACAATCATACAACTCTCATCTGCATGGCAGTTCAATGAGTGTACCTCAATCACTTCCCACTTGTAGAGTTAGAATGGGATGTAAACAGAAAAGATACAGCTTGACTGAGGTTCCTGCATGACTGTGTACAGTAAATTCTGTACTTTAGCTATTCTTTAGCTATTTAGCTATTCAAATATTTTTTCTTTCTACCTAGGAGATAGGAACAAAGCAAAACTGAAATTTGGGACAATAAACCACAGGAAAACTACAGCATGGTTATTTTTCTGAAGAATCTATAGATACTTGAACATAAGCTCTTTCTCTCTCTCTTTTATTTTTATTTTTATTATTTTTATTTTTTTAAATTATTTTTTTTTGTTTCCATTTTAGGCTTCTGAGTGCACTCCAAAAAAATCAATTATACTTTTCCAATGAATGTTTTCCCTTTAGAAACTTGCAGATCAAAATAACTAAAAGATAAAAATCTACTTGTGCAAACCCTTCCTGTTACATCTTTTCTTCCCCTCGGTTGAAGCCTTTAATATTTGGAAAAATTGTTTTGAAAGGCTAAAAAAATACTACAAAACTTGGATTCCTAGTATTTGGAAAACCTAAGCATAAAAACATAAAACAGGTTCTAAACACCTATGCTATGCCTTGTTGCAAAGGCCACATTATTCCCATGTCTTCAGCTTTAAATTCTGTGCATTGTGAGTCAAAACAGCCCTGCTGCTGGGTAGCACCCTCTGGCAGAGAGATGGGACAAACAGATTTTGGCTGATGAGGTGACCATCTTCTGTAACATGCCTTAATCCAGCACTGTCTGTGAGTGAGCAAATCCAGGTAATTAGGTACCTGTTTGGTTCTGATCTGAGCTGTCCCTAGAGAGAATGAGAGTCTTAAAGTAAAGATGTGCTGAACTGACTCTCCACCTCCTGTTGTGATTAGAAAGGGACAACAGCCAGAGTCTATTTTCCACTCTATATTTGAAACCGTTGACTTCAGTGGAATTACTCTGGATTTAAATGTCATCTTTAGGAGTAGAAAATGGCCTTGTGTCCCATTTCTTTCCACCACAAAGATCCCCTTTCCCAGCTTTCACACACTGAGCAATGGCAGTTTGGCATGTGCTGCTACTGCGTATTTCCCTCCCAATTACCTGTTTCCTCTCCTGTGTGCATTTTTGGCATGATGTGTCATGTTCTCAAACCTCACATACCTGAAATATTTGGAAGCACCAAGTTCTGGACACATCTGGTTATTAGATTTGTTCTGAACAGATAGCTGCCCCTTTTGTGAATAAAAGCCTCATGTGGCCATAGGAAATTCCACTAAGATTTTCCTCTCTATATTATCATTTTACCTTCAATATTTTACTGCTCACTTTATTAAAAAGAAATGTTATAATAACCATGCAAAACACTGCAGAAGCTTGAATGGAAGATGTGGTTTTTAGGACAAGAACGTGATTTCTCTTCTTCCAGGTGAGGAGCCAGACATCTCCCTCACAGCTAAATTCAGTGGAAGCTTTGCCATCCATTATGCTCAGCAGCACACAATAGCTTTTGGGAAACAGTTCCAACAGTTGATGTCTTTCCACATAATTTTAATAAGAAAAATACTTCATGACCATATGATCTGCAAATACTTTCTGGTAAAGCTGTAATCTGAACAGTTTTAGAGTTCTCTTGCATGATTCCAGCAGTCTACTGATACTCAACTGTAAATGTTTTAGAATAGCACACAATGAGCTCTTGCTACAAGCTTTGTCTTCTGCTCTAGCTTAGGAATTAGCAGGACTGTGTCTTTAGAAGTTTCTTGACCCTCATCTACCTTCTTAGAATAAAATCTTTCTTGTGCTAGATGAGTTCAAATGAAAGACTGGTGTTAATTTGCTAGGTCTCACCAACAAATTGAGGCTGATTATTAGGATGCTGTTGAAATTTGTATGCTGTCAGGCATCTCAACAAAGTTCTTACTCAAAACTTTAATGTGAGCATTTTGCTATTTCCATTTTGGATTAAAACAAATCTCATTTAAATAATTAGAAAAGGATGCAGTTCATGTAATCTCTTTAGTTTGGAGCAGCTTTTTTTTTTTTTTTTTTTTTTTAAATTATTATTATTGTTTAACAAAACCTCATTTTTCTATTAGCAAAAACAAGACAGATAACCCCAGCTGATATAGATACAATCACCATCTTTTCTTGTCTTGATCTCTGAAGAAAACATCCATTTATTCTATTAGCTGATCAGGTGGTAAACTGATGATCAGGTAATCATTTTTAAGTTCTTTTATTTCAGTAAATGGGGGATGTACCTTGCTCTAGATACAGCAATGGCAGCTTTTTCTGACCACGTGCCAAGAGGCTACAAATACGCCTGACTAATAAAGATAGACAATGTGTCTGTCTGTCTATGAAAATCTGTCATTTTAACGGGGGTTGAAGTTTAAGCACAGTGACAGAATGAGGGAGGCAGTCCACAAGATGGGGTGGAAGAGGTATACTAAAATCTCTCACTAGTTCTGTACCTGTAGATTATTACATTAAAGGTTTAATTCAGCAAGCTACTTGCTTGCTTCACCTGAGATGTCCTATTAAAGAGAATGGAAGTATTTACTTGATTAGTGTTAAGTGAGGGTACCTGTATCTTGGTGAAGTAATGTTAAACACTTTTAGAACAAAGGAATTATAATCACCCTGGAACTCTATTTACACTTGCTACTTTTTCCCTTGGCATGATGCCCAACAGCTGTACCATCAAGAGGAGTTATCAGCTCTAACCGTCCTTCACCGCCTTCCCTGCTGGAAGGGACTGGTCCCTTTGATCTGCTGACAGAGCTATTGCAGTGATTCATTTAAAGTGACATCGGTTAGCTTAAACAGTTGTTTTTTTTTTTGCTAACTTGGCTTTTTTAGACAGAAAGGAATTAGGGAGCTTGCTAGCCTCCTTCCCTAGCTCAGCTGTTTATGGGCTGCACGTATGTTGGCACAGTGTAAGTAATATCTATAGGTCAATAACAAACCAAGACTGAATTCAATAAAGGGTGTATTTTGAATGTTGACTGTATTGCTAACAAATACACAAACGTAATGGCTGAAAAAAAGGCTACAAATCATTTTTTTGTATTTGCTACTTCATCCTATGCAATAGATCATATGATGAGTAAAGCAAGTAAATTTGTTATTGAGGAGAACTAGTAATTCAATTGCCCAACATCTAGCAAAAACAAGATAAAATTTGCTGATTATGTGTAACATCAGGCTCTTGATATCTTGTTAAAATGGTGATGCTCCAGAAAGAACAGCTGTAGCAAGTTCTCCTAAAATGTGGTATTTTAGTAACTGATGCTGGGATGTAAAGGAGCTTCTTTGGGTCCACAACTGGAAAGCCTGGTTTGAAAGCAGGAGCATGTTTTATGGATACCACTTCCCATTCTGATCATAGTAAGGATTGTTTCCTATTCTCCCTGCTTAGTGAAGAGGCTTTTCACTGGAAAAGAGTGTGAAGAGGCCTCTTTTTGTCTCAGGTGAACTGGCGGATGAGGTTAGTGTGAAACCATTTAATCTTTTTCACTCCAGTATTTACTGCAGCACCCAGAAGCAAAGAAGAGCCAGGCAGGCAGGTGGGGGGCTCAGTGCCAGGGCAGTCTCTCTGTGAACCTGGTAGTCAGGGTACACACTTGTTTTTCTGCCATATGGAGTATGTTATGAGTACTATGTGTTTGGGCCTGTTTGTGTTTCAAAAGGGCTTTTTTTTTTTTTAAAAAAAAAAAAATAATTTCACTGTAAAGGTTGGAGGAAAAACTTGTTCCAGAAGTCTGGGTTTAACAGCCCAAGACCTTAAACAGGAGTGAGGCCTATGCAGTCACAAGGGGGGACGGGGGGGAGGGGGCATTGCTCGGCACTCTGTGGTGCCAGCTAGAAAGATCAGTGTTCTTCATTCTTCAGCCCCGTGTTATTTGGCTGGTAGCTGGTAGGGGTTAGGGCTCATGCTCTCAGCAGGAGGCCTGCTGAAGCTAAAGCACACTTTGATGCATGAGAACAGTGGAAATAGCTAAAACTGTCAGTGAATGTACCCACTAAATACAACAGCATGGGATTCAGTAGAAAAACTGCTTCTGGAGTAGTGCTTTTTTATGGTGTCTTTTTTTTTTTTTTTTTCTTCAGTAATACAAGTCGTATGTTTCTTGGGACTGAGTAGCATGGAGGAAATCTGTCTTTCTGTAAGATGAAATGCTTAGAGGAAAACCAGCTAGGGGGAAATTCAGCTGCTCTGTGCAATGCATGTCTGTGTCTGTTTCCTGTGTTTTACAATATATGCCACATACACTAGATGGCAATGTAATACCTGCATAAAGGGCTTATCAGTGAATTCAACAAAAACTGCTCTCAGGTAGGTACCACAAGTTCTTTACAAGTAACAGCTTTACCTTAACTGTTTTACTCTTATTGTGAGCAAACATTCTAACACAAAGGAAAAATACAGGACAAGTTTATGTCAGGAGAGGTCCACAGAGTTTTTTTCTTGTTTGTTCCTCCCTCAGTATTTTTCATAACTGCTTATATATTTGTCATGTCATATTTCAAATGGTAAACTCTGTGAACATGTGGTTTAATCAGGTTTTGCATCTCCTACCTCTGTTTGACACTAGCTCAAATAGCTTTGAAACATCCTTCCCGTGTATTCCCTTCAGAATACTTTAGACATTGCAGATGTTCCCCTTTCATTTCCTCTTTTTCCGATGAGCAAAAGCCTGTGTAATAGCTCAGTAATGTTTCTGGGACACAAGGAAGCTTTGTTGCATGTGTATTCCAGGTCCACCTCTTTCTCAGGCTTTGCTGTGGCTTTCTGGATTTAGCCCAGGCATAGATAAGCCTGTGATAATAGTTGATTTAGCATACACTGTGCTCTACTTGTTCATATATTTATGTGATTGCCTCATTCAAGTATGGCCAGAATGAAAAAGTTTTAATATATCTGAATGTTTGGTAAAACTGTAACATACTGAGAAGTTTTTCTTCTTCAGTTTGTTTGTTTGTTTGTTTTTAATTTATTCCACATACTATTTAAATAAAACTTAAGGGATACCTGCTGTCCTAAACTCATAGCCGACTTTTTGTGTATTCCTTTTCTTGGTAATGCTGTAATCAAGAATAAACCAGATATTACTATGTTCTGTTTTTTTTTTTTTTTTTTTTTTTTTCTTTCTTTTTTTTTTTCTAACCCAGAAAATTAGTATTTCACTTATACCATGCTGAACTTTTAATCTAAATTTTAATTCAATTCATATCCTTTGCAGCTTTCTTAACTGTGCAATCAGTGAATTTCCACTTTTCTTTCAGTCAC